AGTAGTAACTCTGCCTTATTTGCTGTTTGGTTTTGGCCAAAAACTTCAAACACTTATTTTTGGTATGCCCACAAAATATGTTTCGAACATTAACTTAGCAATTAGAAGAATAAAACAAAACAAAACAAAACCCAGATAAATTTAGCAYTGGAATTTATATAATCTACATATATTTGTGATTTATTGGATAATGCCTAATTCATTTTCACTTGCTGGCCAAGTCTGAAATAGAGAAATTCATATMCGGTTTGTAGAAGATGGTTCATTTGATACTAAAATAGATCTTTAAAATTAACCAGAATAATTGCTCCCTAAGAGAATAGAAAATGTTTGGGTCTTTAACTCCTTCCTCCTTTCCTTGGAAAGCCCTATTCCCAGAATGCAGTGCAGGTACGTTTTCCAGGTGGTTTTTTTGTCCTGTTTTGATGAAACTCTGATAAATACTCTCTACTTGAGATGAAATGGATATAGCATAAAAGCTGTCCCAGCATTTCTTTATCCAATAAACATTTCCTAAGAGTAATCTGAAGTTTTTCTTTATCTTACATGATGAAAAGGAGTCACATTTTGGAAAGAGAAGAAAASTGACTTCACTGACAATCAGTACTATTTTGTTGTCTCTTAATAACATAAMGAGAGGAAGGAAATCAGAGGTTACTTCATACTGCACCTTATAATCACTATAAGAAATCATGTCAGTACTTATTGGCAGAGAAGACTGGGTGGAAAGGGATATACTAACTGCATTTATATGAAAAAAAAAAGAGATGGAAAAAAAGTCTGTGCAACAGTAGGCAAAAGACTTGCCCTGTAAAGGAAATATTTTCTTAAATATTATAATAGCACCTTGAAAATCCATTCAGGAATTGGCTCGTGGTTTCTCCTGATACTGTCGAGTGGTAGGTCAGGTCACTGAGACAAAGAAATTACAGTTTAAATGATGGAGTCAGACTAGGGACACATTTGGTTCACCAGCATTTCTGTCAGTTACGGAAATATCTCAAATGGAAAATGTTACCCATAAATAAGCACTTTCTGCTACAATCCTTTGCTGTCCTTGATATGCCCCATAACAATTTTATGTAGCTATGTAGYGCTGGTACTTGGGAGACCACCCAAAGACCCAAAGGGTTGCTGAGTACCATTCTTAGCAGTGTAAAAGTCGGCACCCTTTACAAATGTAAAATAACATAGCTTATGACATGTCCCTTTCATTTATGACTCTGTGTATGGATGTGTAACTATGAAACCAGGTCGCAGGATTTCCTTCTTTTCCTGTTTGATGTTGCGTGGTAGCATGAGAATAAAGTTTAAATGTTTCCATTTTTGTGYTTGTTTGTTTTACAGTGTGATCTAGTTGTCAAAAACCCTGCCATCTGACCAAATTAGTGAAAGAATAGAAAAGAACAGGGTCCAACATCTRGCAAGAAAGACCCTAACTTGGACTTTCTTCTTGATTGTGTCTGTTTCAAATGCCAGGTGTCTATCACCTGGGATGTAGTTTTACTTTGGCAAAGTAAACCTTTTACTAACTCTCTGAAGAATGCTGTCTCTGAATGATGCTGCAGCTAATGCAATAATGATTTACTGCCACAACTGTAAAGGATATTTTTTAACATTGTGTTACACTTCCCATCAATTTAGATCAACCAGACCTACCATATGTGAGAAGTTATCTGCATTTTTCTCCAATAAAACTGAAATGATGAAAGTTTTGCTTTCCCTGAGGTATGTTCCAGTATTGGTAGCCCCATTGTTTTGGGGTTTTTTTAACCATCATCTTTCTCAGGGCTGGAGCATATTATGCCTGCAATGCTTGCCAGAATTCTATGGCTTATTTGTTGTTTGAGACTCACCATATGTGTCTTTGATCCCTGCCTAGTAGGCACTTTGGCTGCTTGCCAGTTTGGCACTTATGATTATCATCAGTATGAATAGCTCCCTTGCTTCTGATTCTGTCCTTCTCGCTGTCATCAAATCACTCTTTAAACAACTTTCTTACTTTCTTTTAGATGCTTATAAACAATCAACCTATTTTTACCATGCCTTTCTTGGCCAAGGTTTTGTGTTGCACTGCAGGAAATCAAACAGCTTTATGTTTCCACTCCTAATGATCTAACTGCCAACTACCTGTGTAACTGCATGAGAACAATAATGAGTACGGAAATATCTCTCATGATAGTATTTGAAGTTACTCTGCATATTACACAAATATGCCTGTTCTCTCCATCTGGTTGGCTTGGTGGCATGACTTCTATGAGTGATTATTTATTTTAGTGAAAAGCATTCCTTTTAAAAGAAGTTTTAAAACCTTTGACCATAACACAGTGTGAGCCAATGACAATGATAAATTCAGAAGAGTATCAGAATGATAAACAGTTTTAAGAGACAGATGGAAAGCCAAAAGTCAGTCATGCACAATTTCTACTCACTATCCTGATATAGCACTAAACATATCTGAGCCTTCCATGTGTTCTGGTAAACTGAAGCTGTTCCAAAATGCCATTGTTGAACAAAAGATMTGCAGAATCAAAATAAGGAACAGCACAGGGCCCATAAAAGTGCAGACCACATGAGGCCCAGGTGGTGTAACAGAATGATCTGCCCAAAGCATCCATTGTCCTCTACATGACTTTGCAAACCCTTCAATTAGTAAATATACTGGTGCTATCACTAGACAAGGGTATCTGCCTTCGWGTTAACTCACAGAGTGGGCTGGAGTGAGTTTTGTGACCTCTGCAGGCAAAGAAAAGTATCAAGATGATTGCATGTGCCTAAAGCACAATCCTCTTGAAGCTTCTTTCACTCTGTGCTGTACCATGTGACTCRTGTACCAATAATTCATTATGGCTTTAAAGGTTTTATTTAACACACAGGGCCTTTTTCGACAGAAAAATTATCACACCCTTCTCCAAACAAACATGGAAGTTTCTAATGAATGTGTTTCATTTCTACATCTCTTGATTTTGAAACAACTCCTKGCGTTTAGGACTAGTTGAAAAACTCGGTGCTAAATTGGCAAGAGTGAAAACAAAAAATTTTAATTGCAGGGAGAATGAGAGGTAAAACAGAAAAGAAACAATGAGAAACTATTGCATGAGAATTCCATTTGGGATTACTTTAGAATGTATCTGTTATATTTTCCTTCTCCAACCACCAACACAGATTTCAGACAAAGATGTTCCTTTTCAGCATATTTGGTGGCACTCTGAGTCTTGAAGCAGGTTTGTGATAGTAAACATTCACACTGGTTGTAGGCTGGAAGAGCCCASTGAGGTTTTAAGCCCTACAAAAACAAAACAGTAACAGAAACAATACCATTACAAGGGTTTTATTGTGGAGAAAATAGCAGTTTGATGTCTACACTACCTGCAGAGCATTACAGTGCAGCTAATTTCAGAGGTATTTGTAAGAAAGACAATTRAAGGCCGTATGAAATTTGACTTTGGTACTGGAGTAACTTGAGAACAGTCCAGGTAGGCAGGAGAGGTACACTTTATTCACAGACATATTCCAACTTCCTTGCAATTGCAGTTTTTATCCTTTTTCCATCTCGCAATGAAATTTACAGAAAAGTGAAAATAAAATTATTTATCTAAATAAAGTGCCTTTCCCTTCACATATACACATCATTGATAAACGCTCTCACTGGGAGACAAAAGAGAAAGGCATGATTTTTTTTGCCAGCTTCTCCATATTTTATCCCTAACTCTACAAGTAACAAGACCCATCAATTACCCAGAGTCAGTATTTAATGGAAACTCAGTGGAATTTTGAACTGTGAATATGAAAGAACGTTGAGATCACAAATAATTTACTGGAAAAAGGCAGAAAAGATTCTAACTGCATAAGATAGTAGTCAGTAAAAAATCTCCTGGCACTTTTCAGTGGCCAGATTTGAAATTGCAAAGATGACCACCAGCAATATTTAAAATTTTTTACATTGTATTTTAAATATCTTATTTCTCAAAAGCCTTAATTATCCTTGAAATACAAAAATTTCCCAGCCAATCAATCAGCATCCAGTTCTGGTTTACAATAGCCATGGAAAAATATTTTTTAAATGCATGTAACAGCAAGCATTTAATACAAAACTGCAAAAGAAAAGCATGGGGCTTTGAGAACATCATGSCTGCCCTCGAATGACTGAGACAGAGACTTGGCGGTAAACCTGATAATCTTTTGCAGAAATGATCGAGGGAAAGTTTCATAAATTTAACAAAATATCCCTGATACCCCAGAAAAGCAATGATCCAGAAACAATTTTTGCTTGAGAGGAATTTGGAAAGTTGGCTGACATAATGAATGCTAAAGGAGCTGACAAAATAAAACTTGCTGCTGCGGAGAGAGCTGTTAAATCCTGAACAGTATTCCATTTGCTATGGAACATGCTCCACGTTTCAGCTACCCAAATGGAAAGTGTGTGCAAGAAGCCTCGTGTCACCCGGACGTCCGAGCGAGCACGACTTGATCATCCTGCATCGTTTGCACAGCCCCGGGATGCCSAACAGGACACGCAGGCTCGGTCTGGAAGCAGCTCTGTCCCTTCTCTTTGCTGCTCTTTTTCCCCCCTGCTGCCTAAAGCCCTGCCAGCTGAGGCTGGGCCCCGTGTCCGCGGGCATGCGGGGCGCTGTGGGGATGTGYGCCAGGACATGGGGCCGGCTCTGCCCGTGCTCTCCGCTCCCCGGCTCTCCTCGGCGGTTTGCCCGCACGCAGGCCCGCGACTGCAGGCTGCAGCGCCGGCCGAGCACGCAGCGAGAGCGGGCACCCACTGCCGCGGCGCCCGGGGAGGCGAGCGGGGCAGAAGGCGAGCAGGGGCAGAAGGCGAGAGGGGCAGAGGGCGAGGAGGGGCAGCAGGCGAGAGGGGCAGAGGGCGAGCGGGGGCAGCAGGAGGCGATGGCCGGGGCCCGGCGGGCGTGAGGCGGCGGCCGCCGCAGCCGCGCGGGAGGGAACGCGGCGGCGCTCGCGCTCCGCCAATCGCGGGGCTTGTCGCCCACGGGCCGGGAGGCTGCGCCCACCCTGCGGCGGCGGCTGCCGGGCGAGCCATGGGCACGGTGCCGTCGGCGCTGAAGCACTGCCTCAGCTACCAGCACCTCCTCAAGGAGCAGCTGTGGATCGCGGAGCCGCCCGCAATCGCGCACCCCGCGCAGGTACCGCCGGGCGCGGGTCAAGGGATGGGACGGGGCCGGCCCTGCGGCGCACGGCCGCCAGCAGGGGGAGAACGGGGCGCCACCGCCCCCTCGCCGCCCCTCGCCGCCCCCTCGCCGCCCCTCGCCGCCCCTCGCCGCCCCTCGCCGCCCCTCGCCGCCCCTCGCCGCCCCTCGCCGCCCCTCGCCGCCCGGCCTGTCCCGTCCCCTGCCCGCGCTGTCCCTGCCCGCCTGCAGCGCTCGATTCTCCCGTCTCCCTTTTCCTGTAGTGCGGGGAGCAGCTGTGGAGTTTACCCACCGGCCCGCGCTGCTGGTCGGTGTTTCAGCACACGGGCGGTGTTTCACCGTGTTCCAGGCAGGGCGAACGCAGGTGGGCGGCGCAGGGRTAGCAGTGAGGCAGTGGTAAACCCACCCAGCTTGTGGTCATCATCACGCGTGATCATCCGCTGTGTGAAAATCATAAAATGTCAGGGTGACACGGGTTTGGGCGAGGCCACTGCACTGCCCTTGKTCACACGAGCGTGGCGGGCGTGTTTGCTGTCGAGGGAAGAGTCACTGCAGCCRCAGGGTGCTCACGGAGGGCGAGGGAAGGTGGCCGCTCACCCTCCTGTCTCAGCCGTGAGCAGGTGTGGGCAGTGGCTAAAGCGGGTGTAGGTTGGATGAGGAGGCGCCTGGGCAGGAGGCCAAATCAACACCGTAGGCCATGACTGTCCTCATCATGTAAGGGAAGAAATGAAGGAAAGTTACCTGCATACGCTGTCTGAGCAGTCATTCATTCCAGTTCTAACTCCAGTAATCAATCAGTGCTTCAAACGTTAAAAAACATAAGCCAAGCCTAGAATAAAATTGTTTAAAATATATTTAATTTTTTTTTTGAGGAGCACCTCTTGTTTGCTGCATGTTTCTTCTGTTCTTAAATATGATGGGGGATAGTCTTTCATTTTTCTCCACTATTTGGAAGTGAAATTTAGTTACTAGGTGGCAATGTGACTTCAGAGGTGGAGAGATGATGAAAAATGTTCTGAGTGGTGAGAAAAATTGGCAGCATTTTAATTTTGCTTCAGATGATCTGAGCTTCATATCTCAAAAGATGCATATATGGAATGGACAAAGCAACACTTGTGAGCATAGAGCTTGATATAGGTAAGCCACATACAGCTTCCAGCTATCATATATTGCTGAGAATAGTGTCTATCCAGCATTAAACCTTYTTTTTTTTTTTTTAATAAAAGTGAAAAAACGTTATGGTAAAGAAATAAAGAACTTGTAGGTGTTAGGCATGAAGCAGAGCACTATAATTCTGTTCATGTGCCCTCAGTACATTCCTGTAGTGAATGTATTCATATATTCAAAAATACATTAACATTTTTTAAAATTTTCCTTCCAAATACCTTGTTATGCCACTTGATTGTGTCGATCTCTGTTCCCCCATCAGACAAAGCATCTGAAAGGCTTTGAAACAGAGTGGGTTTGCAGTTAAAGACAATCATTACCACATTCTTAGAAAATAGTAGATTTAAAAGAAAAAAAGGCTTTCTTTACTGTAGCAGATAACTTTTAYTTAATTTTTGCAGTGCACTTCCTTAATTTTCATCACAATTTTTCTTCCCTCAAGGATACAGAAAGATGTCTTCATCAGTAAACAGCAAACGTGAGAATTTGGTGCTTACCCTCCCTGTGCGCATTGATGTGKATGTGAGCTGCACAGTGCACTAATTAAGTCCAGAGCTGGTCACTGTTCCTGTTTCAATATTTGCTTCTGCATTACCTTGCTGTGATTTTACATGAATCTGTTCAAATTTCCATGTTTCTYCCATGGATTCTTAAACAACCCACAAAGGTTTTCCTTATGTAGGAGTGCATTCCACTCCAATCCTGTTCAAGAAAAAATTATTTCTTGTTATGTGATCTAGAAACTATACTAGCTCCACTGATAGTTGTAAAAAGGTTTGTTGGTCTCTTTTTTTATTACCGTGTATGCAAGATACTTACGGCAGCACCCCTATAATGACGTTTATGTGGATACGCTAAGAAATAAAATAGGGAAGGGGCTTTAGGTGCAAGAACTGTTTCCCAGAAATAATGCTTTCATGGCTGATGAAAATAAAGAGTTTATTTATTTGCTGGACTATTTTCAGGAGTTCCTCAGGATTTTTCTTTAAACACCAAGTAAAATTTAAATATTGCTGCCAGGGCTCTTGTAAAAGTAAAATTGTTCAATTTTCCTTTCAAAACTCCAAATATATAAAAATTTGGTTATATACTCGGTTGACTAATTTGTAAAGGTCCAGGTGTAACCACTTGGAGCTATACTGGAGGTGAAATAATAGGCTCTAAAGTGAGTAGTGGGATGTCGTACTCTTTGTTTTCCCTTATTTTTTCTGTTTCATGTAGCCAACCATTTTTTGTGGTATTTTTAGGACTGTATTTGACTTTAAAACATGGAGTTGCTTGAGTAGTGAAGTTGTTGAAAAGGAGAGATAAAAAATTAAAGGAAATTTGGCTAGGTAGCTAAATAGACAGTAAATAGAAATTTCTACTATCTGTTAGTCAAAGGTACTAATACCTAGTTCAGTCTTATGTAACTAGTCTGTATTGCATAAAAAATTACTGAACACCTGACTAGTCAGTGAGATGCCACATTTCTGTTGCAGTGTGTTCATCCTTCTCCATATTCTTAATTTCATAATCATTTCCTTCAGAGTGCTTCCATAATGCTTCATACAAGGAATACAGTTCAGCTTYATTTTCTTAGCATTATCCCAGTGTATATGGTTCTTATTAATAGATCTGATTAATTTAATATTAAAGTCTGTCTGATTTATTTTTACTAAATAAGGGCTATAGTCACATGAAAATTTGTTAAAGAGGTGGATTTATATCCGAACTGTAAAATGTGCTAGGATCAACTGAGAAAGGAGGTGGCTGTAGATATGGCAGTRTTAGGGAGATTTCTGCAGCAATCAAGGTTGTTAGTAATGATGACTTATAGGATTTGACTGTAGTTTGTAGTGTACTTTGTGGTCTCTTGTGAAATGCTCAGGCTGAGCATCAGGGAAGGTGTTTATCTACTGCTGGTGTCCTTTGGTTTAACAGGAACCTTCTTGCTGGAGAAGAGATGGTCTGAGAGTAACTGACGTTGGTCTTATCCTACTGATTTAATGTTATATTTTCATGTAGGCTAGAATGGAATTTTGATGCACTAGGAATATGATAAGGATGCAACAGAGAAGAACTGGATGGCTAAAGAAGTGTAAAAGACTGGGATGAAATTCAAGGATACAGAATGACTAGGTGCTTTGAGACCAATAACCCAAACAAGACTTCATTGTTAGAAGAGATTGAAGAAGAACTTTGGAATACTCAMAAATCATAGGATGACTGTGAGCTGCCAATTTAGCTGTTGAAAAAAAAAGTTAGGTCCACAGATTGAGAAGAYCGGGTACTTCCAGTCAAAGAGGGAAATGTTGGTTCCATTGCAAAAAACTATCCAGTTTTGCTTAGTCATGGTTAGTTATGGAATTCAAGAAATTGAATTCTGGCTGGGGCAAGTTAGGTCTTGCACCAGTGGAATGGTTGGGGAAAGGGAGATGAAACGTAAAATGACTTGGGTTTGTYTGATATCTAGTGTTAACACCTGGAGGATGTGCAGGCAGGGTAGGAAGAAGAATTAGCTGCTTAAAAATAAAGGAAGATGTTGCTACCAACAAACACACACTTATACTCAGTCCACATAATAAATATAAAGTAGAAATTTAAAAGCAAATTATCCATTGGTGACATTCTTTAGGAGCTTTGTAATCACAATAAGGGTGAAAACACTTTGTGAATTAGGTGAGAGGATTGAAGGTACTGAAAGGATTATATGATGTAGTTTCCATAGTACTGAAAATTATCTCATTCTTATGAGCTTTTATAGAGTATATGATACAGAACAGAGGACTAGATATTTAAATGTTTTAAAATAGAGACAATTCCAAGTCCAGTTTTCTAATTACTTTGCATGCCTTACAATACTTCAGAAAAAGTAAATTAGTTCAGGTCAGAGTATCAACCTCAGTGTGAATATTCATCTGCCACCTTAAACAGGAGAATCCTACTGTACAAGAGGGTAGTGGTTAAACTAAACTAAATTATAAGCATCTTTTTCTCAGACCCTTGTGTTTATGTTCTACTAGCTAAGTGTACTAAGGGATATAGTAAATTAAGAATATTAGGGGTCATATGGTTTGGTGAGGGTTGCCTACACTTACCACAAATAAAGCAAAAATAAGTAAAAGTGAGACTCAAGTCTTTTATTCTGCTGGATGTGGCTGTGAGTCTGGGAAGTGTAATGTAGGATTTCTGTCATATGGAGTACAATATACAGAATCATTAACACTTGTTCAGGATGTTACTATTGGAAAGTTTTATAATTGGAGAGGAACACAAATGCTAAGTGCTAAATACGTAAAATATTGGGTCCTCCAATTAGACAGCTAACTTCTGTTTCATAGCCTTGATTGCAGTGATTTATATACTACATGCCTAAATATCGAGACTAAAAATGCACAAAGATTCCCTCATCTCCTCACTGCATGACACTCTTGGATGAAGAGACTCACACAAGTGTCTTAGTTTTGCAGTTTTAATTTGCTAGTTTAGATTTTGTAACATATTGTCATGTTTCAAACATATGCTAGAAACCTCTCAAATTTATTTGTAAAGTAACTCAAGAATAACAACAAAACCCACAGTCCATATGACAGTTGTACATATCTTACTCACTTATATTTCATGTTTGATACTTGATTCAAATTAGAGCATAAAAAAAAGAAACATATGGTATTATGTGACCTAGGTGGAGACAGCATATCTCTTCTGTTTGAGTCTTTTAGGTACACCTCAGAGCAACTGATTTGAGACATACTGTGTTTCATGTTCTATTTATCTCCATGTAATTATATATTCCAGGAATAAATTAACATTTGCAGGCTATTGTCAAATAACTATTTAGGCTATTT